TTTTTTGAGACAGAGTCTTGCTCTGTCACCAGGCTGGAGTGCAGTGGCACAACCTTGGCTCACTGCAACCTCCGCCTCCTGGGTTGAAGCAATTCTTCCGCCTCAGCCTCCCAAGTAGCTGGGACCACAGGCACGTGCCACCACGCCTGGCTAATTTTTTTGTATTTTTAGTAGAGATTTCACCATATCGGCCAGGCTGGTTTAGAACTCCTGACCTCAGGTGATGCACCAGCCTCGGCCTCCCAGAGTGCAGGGATTGTAAGTGTGAGCCACCGCTCCTGAGCTGTGCTTTTCATCTCACACATGTGTGCACATACATGCTTGTGTGTATCAGAATTACATTTAATTTCATAGATAGGACTGATTTCATTAATAGGCAAATTAAAAATCAGAAGAGTCAGGGTTTTTTTTTTTAATGAATGTGTTGTTTCCCTTTGGCTATTGTAACAAAGTAACACAAAGTTGCTGGCTTGCAAAAACAGAAATTTATCCTGTTAAGTTCTGGGTCTAGAAATGCAAAACCAAGGCTCCACTGTCTCTGACATCTGTTGGGAAGAAGGCTTCCCTGCCCCTCCGAGTTTCCGGAGCCACCAGCAGGGCTTGGCCTTCCGTGGCTCATGGCTGCGTCGCCCCAACCTCTGCCCCCATGTTCACATGGCCGTCTTCTAGTGCATGTCCTCGTGTCTTCTAAGGACAGCAGTGTTTAGATTTAGGGTCTGCCTGATGCCAGGCTGTCTTCATCTTAACTGATTACATCGCCAGAAATCTTGTTTCCAAATAAGGTCACATTCTGAGTTTCTAGATAGACAAGAATTTTGGGGGACATTATTCAACTTACCGTAGTAGCCAAAAGCTGTGAAAAGGCAGTTCACAGGAAAAGAAATAGAAACGATTAATATCAAAAATCTGCTTAAGGCTGGGTGCGGTGGCTCACACATGTAATCCCAGCACTTTGGGAGGCCGAGGTGGATGGACCATTTGAAATCAGGAGTTTGAGACCAGCCTGGCCAACATGGTAAACCCTGCCTCTACTAAAAAGGCAAAAATTAGCTGGGCATGGTGATGCGCAGAAGCTGGGGCAGGAGAATCGCTTGAAGGAGGTGGAGGTTGCAGCAAGCTGAGATCACACCACTGCAGTGCAACCTGGGCGACAGACTGTCTCAAATATATATATATATATATATGTGTGTGTGTGTGTGCTTAACCACACATTACTAAAGAATTGCAGGTCCCACTCACCCCATTTTTTTACCTATCAGATTGCCAAAGATTTTGCGATAGAATTGGCAAGGGTGTGGAAACATGCATCCCCATGCTATTGGGAGTGTAGTTTGGTGTGGGGTTGTTGTAAGTTAAACACAGAAAGATACTGATTGCTCTCCTCTTCCCTGGCCACACTGCTTCCCTTCATGCCCTTCTTCCTCAGCCTCCCTGCCCCGAGCACCATCCCTGTTCTCCTCCAGAGGCATGCCAGTCTCCCTCTGCCTGGCTGCAGTGGGGATTGTCAGTCCTCATCCAGCTATCTCTGTGCTGATGCCCACACTGGCCAGCGTCCTGCCGGGTGAATGGAGGTGGAGTGAGGGCAGGTTCGGAGGAGACTCAGCATCCACAGAGCACTTACCACGTTTCCAGACCTCTGCTGGGCTCCCTAGGCCCCTGACCTCAGTCAGTCCTCAGCACCCTGGGAGTGAGCTCCAGCCACCCCATTTACAGATGAGGTGTGAGGCCAGGAAGGTGAAGCCACCTGTGCCAGGGTTTCCCACTGAAAGACAAAGGAAGCCTCGACGGTGGTACTGGGGACTGTGGCTCTGAGCGCAGCTAGGCTGAGTGGGAGTCTGCGTCCAGTGCCCTGCTGTCCCCATGTGGCATCTCCCCTGAGTGAGGCCTGTGGTCAGGCTGGGCCCATCCAGTGCCTGCTGTTCAGCTTGGGATGGTGATGGACTGGCCCTCGGTGAGCACTGTGGGCCTCGGCACCAGGCCCAGGAGCAGGACAGCTCTGACCTTGTAGGTGTCCCTCCTGTGCTGCAGACCCACCGTGGGTGCCTGCAGAGTTGGGCCTTGGAAACATGCCGAGGAGAGCGAGCTCCTGGGGGAGAGGAGTGCCCACATTCCAAGGACAAGCTTCCATCAGGTGGGCCGCTGCCCTCCTCGCCCTCAGACCCACCAGTCAGACAGCGGCTCTCAGCGAGGCCTCCCCAGTTTTTTCAGCAGAACAGCTGCATAACTGGAGGCCAAAAGAGGACCTGGAAAGATGGATGGGGAGGGTTGAGGCGTCTGTGCCGCGGGGAAACCACTGCGACAGTCTTCCTCTCAGCAGGGACTGTTCAGCGCAGCACCGTCTCCGGCTCTGCCTCATCAGTCTCTCCCCAGGGTCCCTGCAGTTGATGTCCTTGTGGGGAGTCCTTACCTTTGCTGTGCTCGTGGACAGGTGCCCAGCAGGCGCCCATGGCACTGGGCTTAAGAGTCGCCATCACGCAGCCTCAGCAAAGGTGAAGTCTGTGCCATCAGAGAAGGTCTAACCCAAAACTTACCCAATTTTCCATGAACTAAAGATCATCTAGATTAACGTTCTAGGTTAGTAATGTAAATACTTAGTTGGTCACACCTCTCTCACATACTTGAGAAACATCATTTCCAGACTCCAGACTGAGAGGCCAAGGGAGACCGTCCTTCTCTGAACCAGCAGAGGCAGACACCAGCTGGGTCCGCAGCTCCGAGGTCCACCTGTGCTGTGAGCGTGTGTGAGTGGCCATACCTGCCTGAGCGCTGCACATTAGGTGCCGTGTGGACCAGGAGCAGCTCTGGACAGAGGAGACAATGCTCAGGGGAAGCCCTTGTGACTGTTCTCAGGCTCGTCGCCCTCACTGGTCAGATAGCACTAGACCTGTGGAGATACTTGTGGTGTCCTGAGACACTCATACTCTGTGACAGTAATGACTCACCCATACGTAATGTGAGTACCATAACTGAGGGGCCAAGACAGTGAGCAGAGCCATTCCTGGGGGCCCTGTGGGGACCTCAGCGGGGTTAAGGAAGACAGGTTGTGTGTGTAAAGCTGACAGTACCTTCTCTCTCTGCAGAAACATGAAGACACGGACTGTCCCTGTGTGGTGGTGTCCTGCCCTCACAAGTGCAGCGTCCAGACTCTCCTGAGGAGCGAGGTAGGGATGGCTTGGCCCAGCCGGGAGTCTGCGGAGTCCTCAGGGCTGTGTGCCTGGGTCTCCACTCCCTGCATAGCCAAAGCCTCACGTTTTCCCAGTTCATGAGAGTCAGGTGTATGGCAGAAAAATGAAAACCACAGCAAAAAGCCTTATGCCATTTTTTAGAAGTCAGAAGCAAGCAGTTAGAAGCTACAGTATGTGGCCAGGCGTGGTGGCTCACACCTGTAATCCCAGCACTTTGGGAGTCCGAGGCAGGTGGATCACCTGAGGTCAGGAGTTCTAGACCAGCCTGGCCAACATGGTGAAACCCTGTCTTTACTAAAAATACAAAAATTAGCCAGTGTGGTGGCGCGCACCTGTAATCCCAGCTACTTGGGAGGCTGAGGCAGGAGAATCACTTGAACCCTGGAGGCGGAGGTTACAGTGAGCCAGGATTGCACCATTGTACTGCAGCCTGTGCAACAAGAGCAAAACTCCATCACAAACAAACAAAAAAACACTACAGTGTGGTAAATTCAGAGGAAAGATTGGTGAAACATTAAGAAAATGGAAATATTTTATATACAATACAAGCAAAGGTGACTTAAGGGTTTTTTAAAAGCAATTTTAATTTTATAGAATAGTAATTGCTGTGAGATGATCTCAAGAACATGAATGAACTGAGAGACACTTCAGAAGCAAAGCTCACACATGCCGGGCGGAGGACGTGCCCACGTTTTAGGGCTGCCAGACGGGCCCTTGTGGCCCCCCAGAGGCCACCTGCCTCACCTGACACTTGGCACTCTTTTTTTGAGATAGGTAGATTTTGCATTGACTTCACTTGATCAGGATACGTCCAGCTGGGAAAATTTCAAGGATTCTTAACATTTCTGCATCTGTCCCGACCTGGAGCATGTTCTGGGAGTCATCTGGGGCTACCTTGGGCTCCCTGGATGTGTGGTGCCCTGATCTAAGGAGGTTGCTCACCTCAGCATTTTTCAACAGCCTGAAATTTTACCCCTAGATATTGGTTAGCAGGGAAAACCAGCCTTGCCTGTCCCTGACTGGGTAAGAGGGCCCATGTGGGGCTAGGGCCAGGGACCCAGGGCCCAGAAGCCACTCTCCCCCGAGGCGTGTCCTCCCAGGACCTTGAAGCCGATGGGTGAGGGCAAAGTCTTGCCTGATGACAGTGATCTCTGGGCCCTGAACGTGCCCCTGGGAGGAGCTAGGGAAAAATACCTGTCAATTACCACCACGGCTGGACAATCCTCTGTTAATGTATAAAGAGTCCATGCTGTTGGAATAATTTCTTTTTTTGAAAACATTGTTAAACCTGCATTTCTGTTGGGTTTCTAGTGAAAGGTGCTGTTGGGCTATAGATTATTCCTGCCTGTCTTCCAGAGCTCCTGCAGATTCCCTAAGACTCAGAATACTGAAAGTAAAACCAATTTAGGAAAAGGCCCAACCCTGAATTTACTGTAGTACACTAAAAACAAGATGCATCACACCCAGCGTGTCCCTGGCTTAACATGTAATAGTGTTGCCACTCAACTTTGTTATTGCAGTAGTGACAGTGGAAGAATACATTCCAAATTTTTTAATTAACGTTCTGTACAGTTTCCCTGCCAGTCACCTGCCATGCGCCTTGTGGGCGCTTCTTGCAGGAGCAGCCAGTGTAGGTTCCGAGGAGCAGTAAAGGCATCAGGCTGCCAGGTTCCTACCACCATGACTCCGCCCTGGCTCTGAGACCGTCCTCGAAGGTTGGCCCTAGCAGTGGCCACGTGGGCCCCTCAGGCCCTTCCTGCATTGCCCCTCCTCCTTAGCTTTCACAGCAGGGATCCATTTTCCCCTCTGTTCTAAATGTCAACCTAGAGGAAAGGCCCGCCTTTGTCCTGGAGGACTGAGAAGTATAGAACTTAGCTGCACTCTCCAGGAGGAGGCGCTCTGTGAGCCCTGGGAACGCATGCGTGCTGGCACACAGACAGACATGTTCCCGGCTGCTGCACCCACACACCCGTCCTCCTAAGGAGAGGCTGATTGTTTCCTGTGAAGAAGATCTGTCCCTAGAGTTTCCTGATGGGAATTTCTTCAATAAAAGCCAGAACTTCTGCTCAGTCTTGGGGCATGATAAAGCATGCAAAAGACAAAACTATACCTGACTTGTCTTAGCCTAGCACATGACTCTAAGTCTTTGAAATGCAGTCTTTTCCATTCCCTTTTCTCTTGTTAGGGCATCGTAAGTAATTTTTGTTTGATAACTCGGCAGCATTTGAGCTGAGTAAGAGACTATTTTCTTTCAAGATGAGTTATCTGCTCTCAGCCCCACCTAATTTTCCTGACATCAATCAGAGGTGACAGTATTAAGACCACGTTGTTAGATTGATCTTAGAGGTCTTTGAAAAAGTACCTGAGTTTCTGGCCTTTACAGAGGGAAAAAGTCTTTTCAGATGAAGGAAAAACTCATTTGCACTTACCTCAAGTATTTTGAGTAATGGGATATTGTGTAAGCTCGCTTCGAAAATATTTTTATTTTTGTGTACCATATATTAGGTGTGTGACCCAGTTGCATTCTGAATGCTTTCTATTTTTTTGTGTTTCATGCAATTTTTGTTTATGGTCCTTAAATGTGCATTTCAGTTTATGTTTTTTCTTTCTTTTTTAAATTCTGGCACTACAGATGGCATATCACATTTTGAACAATTTGTTCTAAAGAAACTGCAAGTTTAAGAAATGTTATAGTAAATGTATTCTTGTATATTGGCGTATATGTGTATACACGTGACTAGACCGTATATTTACTGCGTAGAAGTCTAGGCAGCAGATGATATATACACACCTGTAGCAGTAAACACCATTCTTAATAGTACAGCTCAGATGCTATCTGTGCCCTAATATGTTTGAACATTTTCATGCAAACGTTTGTGCCACAACTCACGTCTCTTTCCCGTTGCAGTTGAGTGCACACTTGTCAGAGTGTGTCAATGCCCCCAGCACCTGTAGTTTTAAGCGCTATGGCTGCGTTTTTCAGGTCAGTATCCGACATTTGTCCTTCCCAGTCACTGACATTCTGCCATGAGAGAAAGTTATTATATTAACATTTTTAACATGCAAGCTGACTCCTTATTCCTTGTCATGAAACTGAAACACCCTGTTGCATGGGTGGCAAGAGCCACGTGCAGCAGGCGGGATGCTCGCTTTCCAGTTGGTGGTGCTTTGAGACTTGAGGTGGACATTGTGCTGAAGTGGAAGCTAATACATGAAGAGAAGTACTGCATCCAAAACCAGCTAGTCATGTGACAGATAGGGCTGACATTCGGTGGGGTTTTCAGATAGATGGTTATAGAAATTTTAGCTGTTATCTGAAGAGAAGCAATTACGAAACTGAGCATAGTTTCAACAGCGTGTGTGTCAGTACACAGCCGTAAGGATCACACACGTGTGTATCCATAAATGCATTTGATGTACATGTCTGTGCTGACTCTCACCCCCAGCTGGGGACAGACGCAAAATGGAGCACAGCTCCTAGAGAGCACACCTCCCAGAGAACAGTGCGGGGAGAGCGCCTCTGTTGCTGCCACACGTGTAGTGTGAGAAATCTGCATCTGGTGTTTTGTTGTTGTTTATTTTTTAACACAGCTGAGATTGCTAGTGAATTGGAACCGAGTTTTCATTTAAATATATGTATCTTAATCTTAAAACTAAGTATTTTATATTTCATGTAGCACCAATACATTATTATGAAGTCAGTACAGAGAGATTGGCATCTTAGTATTTTCTGAGGAAGGGAACAGCCACAGAGTAAGAATGACTGTGCCTTCCTTTGCTTGAGTCTCTAGCAAGACTGAGCCTCCCCTGTTCTGTCGTACGTAGTATCATTCATTCTCTCTGTGTATGTGTATATATATGTTTATATATTGCAACACTTATATCAACATATATATATAAATATTCTATGTACAGAGTATATGTTTTGGAGATCATTAAAATGCTTCCTGTGGCTTCTTAATTTTCTAATAGCAAAACAAATTATATTTTCATGCAAACTATTTCCTTAAATATATGAAGTACAATTTCACGTGTTTATTCCTGACTCCAAAATGGTCTACATCTTATGTACTCTGTAGATTGTATTTGTTTTGTATGTAACTTTTCTAAGTATTCTAGAATGGTGAGGAGCAATACGTCTTTGGATACAGTGTATTTGAGCCAGTAAATTGATGCTTTAGTAAATTACTTTGAATCTTTCTTTGCTTACATGTTTACCAGACTGTTGTGGCAGTACCTAGCTACAACTACGGGTATCTATACTATATTTTAATGAGAAAAGTAGTTTGTAATAGATCAAGAATGAGTTTAAAATTTAATTTCTTGGTATTACAAGTGTCAACCCTTGATGAAAAGCCACTTGAGATGAGCTGGAGGGATGGGGAGATAACCCTGAGATGCTCACTGTGGCATTGCAGGGCGCTGGCTCTGCCACTCCTGGTGGCCTCCTTACCTGCATGCAGTGGCCAGGTGGCCCTCAGCACAGCCCTCCTTAGGCGCAGAGGTTCCCTGTTAACTTGGCGCAAATAGGTCTTCCCTCTGTGTCTAGTGCTGCCTTTAGGATCAATGTTAGCCTTTCTGCCCTTTGAAATGCAGTGAGGTTCACTGAATGCCTCATATCTTTGCTCTCACAGGGGACAAACCAGCAGATCAAGGCCCACGAGGCCAGCTCCGCCGTGCAGCACGTCAACCTGCTGAAGGAGTGGAGCAACTCGCTGGAGAAGAAGGTGGGCTGCACGCTTTCCTGCGTGGTGGGATTTGTGTTTGAAGACAAAACTTCTTTATAGTTAGTAATGGGTTTTGGATAAAAGAAACCATATCAAGAGACTGTCAAAAAAAATATTCCCTGTGTGATCTTGAGCTTATAAATGAAGCTGTTTTATTTCTGTTCTTTGTTTTTTAATAGCCAAGCAAGTGTGAAGTGCTTTTTTTAATGTCAATCACATTGTGGTTGTTTTAGCTTCAGTCCAGCACAGAGATGATCAGGTGCCCAGTCCCCACCCCACTGGTTTTTTTGTAAACAAAGTTGTATTGGCGCACAGCCATCCTCGCTCACTCCGTGTTGCCTGCGGCTTCCTTTGCTCGACAGCAGCAGAGTGGAGAGAGCGTGTGGATCGTACGGATCGAGATACTGACTACTGGGCTCTTTACAGGATAAATTCGCCAGCCCTGACCTGGGTGGCTACCAGTCTAAATGCGTTACAGGTCTGTGTCTTTTACAAGAGACAAACATTTGCTATGATTACAACTGATTTTGTCATTTGACACTTTGTGAAACTTGGTTTGCTCTCCACATAGATGGGACCACGTCCCAAAAAGACTCACTCTCCCATGCTGTTCTTTTCTTTTTTTTTTTTTGAGACAGAGTTTTGCTCCTGTTGCCCAAGCTGGAGTGCAGTGGCACAATCTCGACTCACCGTAACCTCCGCCTCCCAGGTTCAAGTGATTCTCCTGCCTCATCCTCCCAAATAGCTGGGACTACAGGTGCCCACCACCATGCCTGGCTAATTTTTGTATTTTTAGTAGAGAAGGGGTTTCTTGGTGTTGGCCAGGCTGGTCTCGAATGCCTGATCTCATGATCCTCCCGCCTCGGCCTCCCAAAGTACTAGGATTACAGGCATAAGCCAGTGTGCCTGGCGGCGAGTTTTTCACTTGAATGCTGGAGCTGAGGTTGAGAAGCAGTGGAAGGATTGGCGTCCCCTGCACATGCACACACGGAGCAGAACAGTGCTGAGCAGCAGTGATGCAGAGCTCGTATTCACAGAATCCTGGTGATCTTCCCATGAGCATAGAGAATTTGCTCTGAGTTCAATGTTGATTTACCTAAGAATCTTTTTTTCCCTCTTTTTGAAGCGGGACTTTTATTTCTGTCTTTTTAAAATTATAGGTATAGATCACAAGGCCTCTTATCTCTCATAGATGCTGTGTTTCTCACTTAGGAGGTTCTTCCTTTCATTTTAAAAATGGACTTTGTTATCCCTGTGTTAGTTACACAGTAGTTGAGCAGGTCCGCCGCACATGGTTATCCAGCAGGATGGTCGTGGACTGTGCTGTCACCGGGCAGCCTTCTGGGGCCCAGTCCCTGTGGGATTCAGCTCCTTCCTTTCCGTTCTGTGCTTTTTTTCCCCACTGAAAGTGAATGGTTTGCATCATTGGAAACTCCAGGACAAACCAGAGCAGCCCGCCCACACACAGTGCAGTGGTTTCTCACTGTGAATGCCTCCTGTGTTTAAGCTATCTCCAGCCAAGTCACAGTGGCAGCCCCGAGCGTGCAGGATGTGCAGCTGTGCGCTACCCTCTTGGACGTTGCCAAAGGACTGGTCTCTCCCAGACTCTGTCCATCAGAGCAGAGCCCCTGCCCTGATGTTGGGCCAGCTGAACCTCAGCTCTACATGTGCTCTGCACGTGCTCATTGTGCTCACAAGAAGGTGCACAGTGCCCTTTACTAGGTCCAAAGGGAAAGGCTGGACAAAGAGCAGAGACTTTGCTGTGCATTCAGCGTCTCCCTACTAGACGAGTGGAAGCAGTGAGCTGCAGGACCCAGAAGTTGGGTTCTTTGATTAAAATAAATAAATAGCTTAAATAAGGGAAGTCCTAAAATGAAAGAAATTGAGTTTAGTGTGACATGATGTGTACTCATCGCTGTAAGTTGCCTCTGCTCACACTCAACTGCTTGATTTGTTGGAGGGCAGTGGCGCAATCAAGGCTCACTATAGCCTCGACCTCCCAGGTCAGGTGATCCTCCCACCCAACCTCCCCAGTAGCTGGGACTGCAGGTGTTTGCACCACGCCTGGCTAATTTTTGTGTTTTTTTTGTAGAGATGGGGTTTCACCATGTTGTCCAGGCTGGTCTTCAATTCTTTGGGCTCAAGTGATCCTCCTGCCTCAGCCTCCCAAAGAGCTGGGACTACCGGTGTGAACCACCACACCTGGCCTATTGACAGTGTTTTGGAGACATTACTGAGATTTTTGTCAAAAGACTTGGCATCCATATCATCTTTTTGCAGGGATATGAGAATAAAGAGTCTGAGAATTGTGTCCCGTCTTGGACAGATGGAAATGAATGAATTGCTACTTTCAGAGGGACACATAAACCATGCAATGCTACCTGTGGCCCACTTCGCATTCTGCAGGTTGATCACTTATAGGAGTTTGTGGACGCATGAGGCAAGGAAGGAAGGAAAGCCGATTTTTGCTGAGTAAAATCCTAGGAAAGTGAAGTTATATTTTGCCCATGAGACATTGCAAGTTTTATATCCCTTAGTAAATACATATTTGTTTTAAAATACGATAGTGGGCCGGGCGTGGTGGCTCACACCTGTAATCCAAGCACTTTGGAGGCCAAGGTGGGCGAATCAACTGAGGTCGGGAGTTCAAGACCAGCCTGACCAACATGGTGAAATCCTGTCTTAAAAAAAAAAAAAAAAATACGATAGTGATTGCTTCAAAAGGTGTCTCTTGACTTGGCCAACTGTGCCAAATATGAAAAGGATAACCAGCTTAAAGGTGGTTATCCTTTAGATGGACAGCATCAGGAGTCAGCTCTTGATCACACCTGGTTTTGTGCCAAGATGCCTTCGGGCCCTCACCTCTGTGACCATTGGTCCCCAGGCGTTGGTGGTTTTAGCGTGTATATCGTTGGAGGGGCACACGTTGGATCTGGCACAGAGCTTAGGGTCTTCTGGGGTGGAGACTGCCACCCCGACAGGTAAACAGAGTAGGTGGGAGGTCAAGATGCCTTTTGTAAAAGTTTTGTGAAGAAGAAGGCCTTGTAGGTGTTACCCTTGAACTTTTCATCTTTGAGACCAGGTGTTAATTTTTCTTTGGGAGCGAATTATTTTTCAGAAAGAGATTTCAGAAAGGTCAAAGGTGGGGTTGGAATTGCTCACCCAGCAGGCCCTCCCTTTGGGTAGCATGGATTGCAAGGGCTCCTCTGTGCTCCCATGGAAGGATATCCTCAGGTGTCACCTCTGCCTCTCTGTGTTGAGGGAGAACAGGGCTGGTCCCAAGGATGCAGCACCCATCTAATTTTTTGTATTCGCCTCGTGCTCTCTCATTATGTGGCAGAGCTGTTCAAGCTGCAGTGTGTGGTCCCTGGGTAGATGTGAAATAGTAAGTTGTGACCAGCATTTTTTTTAATTGACAAAGAATAATTGCATATATTTACGGGGTACAGTGTAATGTTTTGATTTTTTATGCATGTATACACACACACAAATACACACTCACACACACATACACACTGCAGAATAATTAAATAGAGCTAATTAACATATCCATCACCTCATTGGTTTAAAATCTGCTCCCCAAGCAGTCTTGAAACACATGTTAATACCAATCACAGTCACCATGCTGTCCAGTGGGCCTGAACACATCCTTCCTTCTGTCTAACTGAGGCTCTGTGCCCTTTGCCCAGCAGCTCCACAAGCCCACCCCATCCCCCACCTCCGCCAGCCTCTAACCACCGTTCCCTCCTCCTGTGAGCTTAACTTTTTTAGATCCTGTGTCTAAAGGAGAGCGCATAGTGTTTGCCTTTCTGTGCTTGGCGTATTTTGCTCAGCGTAACGTCCTCCAGGGACGAGTATTTTCTTAAATGAAACAGAATAAAAGAACAAATATCAGTGTGCATCATAAGTAATTAGGGCAAGTACTGCTTTGTGACACCTGTTTTCAGGGACGCACGCACGCGCGGTGGTATCAGTGGGTGATAGATCAGTGTCTCTTTCTTACTGTGTTTCCTGGTCTACAATTGAAAAATACTCGGTAAAAGATTCATTTAGTTTTTAGCAAAAACTTGAAAAGCACCTCATTTATTCAGATATTCAATCAGCTGCTGCACTTTGCCTCACCCTAATTACTGGAAGAGATTCTGAGAAACACTTTATAGGTTTCTTTATTAAATTAGGACTGGCTGGGTGTGGTGGCTTACACCTCTAATCCCAACCCTTTGAGAGGCTGAGGTAGGAGGATCACTTTTGGCCAGGAGTTTGAGACCAGCTTGGGCAACATAGGAAGACCCCATCTGTACAAAAAAAATTTTTTTAAAAACCTAACCAGACATGGTGGCATGTACCTGGGGCCTAGCTACTCAAGAGGCTGAAGTAGGAGGATCATTCGAGCCCAGGAGGTCAAGGCTGCAGTCAGCTATGATTGCACCACTGTACTCCAGCCTGGGGACAGAGCAAGAACCTGTCTCTAGAGGGGGGGAAAAAAGAAAGAAAAGTACCAGGACTACCATTTTCTGTGTGAAGGGATTTTTTTCCTTCTGAAACTCTGTCAATACAGCTAACGGAAGGCCTATATTGTGAAAATTTAATTGGTGTTATTATCATGGTTGTTAATTTATATGAAAACCACTTTTGGTTACATTAATTAAAGAATTTCTTTTTTAGGTTTCCTTGCTGCAGAATGAAAGTGTAGAAAAAAACAAGAGCATACAAAGTTTGCACAATCAGATATGTAGCTTTGAAATTGAAATTGAGAGACAAAAGGAAATGCTTCGAAATAATGAATCCAAAATCCTTCATTTACAGGTAAGAATCTTAGGACTTTGGCCAGATCAAAGGGTAGAGGAGCTTGCCTTTGTTCCCCATTAGGGCTTTCTCAGGGAACTGCTTGAGCTGAGTCCTTGACCTTTGTGAGCAGAAAGCCAGCTGATTTCCCTGGCCTCAGTGAAGGCTTGAAAAAGGCAGTGGGGCTAGCACGGGCCCTGCCTGGGAAGCTGCAGGTAGGTGTTTTCTCACTGCCTTTTCTCTGGAGAGCAAGCCTCCACCCCCTTCCAAGCCTTTGGTCTACTGTTGGAGAAGTAAGACGTAAAGCCCGTGTTTTTAAAATGAGCTGTTTTTATTATTATTTAAGATTTCCTACTGTCCATGAGTAGTTGCTGTGTGCAGTCTCACTTCCTGCAGTGAGGCGCTGTGCAGCCCTGCCATCCTGCTGTGAGCTCTCCAGTGACACGCACTCACCCCGGTGGGTTTCACCGCGGAAATCCACACACACCTGCTGAAGAACAAACCAGTGACCCCTTGCCGCCCTGAATAGAGGCGATTGTATACCTGGGACTGATGAAGCGTGGCTCCTTCTGTCTTCAGTCATCACAGCTGTCTGTGGGGCACTTGTTAATAGATTATTGTTTTAGATGCCGTCTGCACAGTGACTCGTGTCCTTTTGTGATTCCCATGTGTGTCACACACCCGTGGAAGAGTCACGCGTCACTGAAGTGCCTGTACTTATGCTGTGTCCCTAGATTATTTGGAACAGAAAACACTTCTTTTTTTTTTTTTTTTTTTTTTTTGAGACAGAGTTTCACTCATGTTACCCAGGCTGGAGTGCAATGGCGCGATCTCGGCTCACCGCAACCTCCGCCTCCTGGGTTCAGGCAATTCTCCTGCCTCAGCCTCCTGAGTAGCTGGGATTACAGGCACGCGCCACCATGCCCAGCTAATGTTTTTTTTTTTTTAGTAGAGACGGGGTTTCACCATGTTGACCAGGATGGTCTCGATCTCTTGACCTCGTGATCCACCCACCTCGGCCTCCCAAAGTGCTGGGATTACAGGCTTGAGCCACCGCGCCCGGCCCAGAAAACACTTCTAATAGTGCAGAGTCATGGCATCTTTGAGAATGCCTTTTCTCTGATTTTTGACATTGGAGATGAGTCATAATGACTTGAATTGCACAGGAATTTATTAAATCAATTTCATTTGTATTATACCTTGTAGTTACCCAGAGAGAAAAGGAGAAAACACAACAGAACTTTAGATGGGATTAGAAAAGGCACAAGTCATTAGCATTAAATCAAGCCAAAAAACGTACCATGTTTCTTAAAACACTAAGCCTCCCGCTGGAAGCCCCTGGCATTTTGCTGAGGGCCCACCAGTGTGTCGGTCATCAGACTGGCCAAGGCAACTGGTCAGCCCGCTGCTGCAGGGCCCTGGCCACCCTGTGGCCCGCCCACACCTGCTCTGCCTGGCAAGCAGCTCTGGCCGTTCACAAGATCACTGCCGTGTTTGACCTGGGGCTGAGACACTGGAGAGGCCGGGGAAATCACCTCCTAAAATGTCCACAACGGAAGGAAGAATGAACAAGTACTGGATTCATTTATAACAAAAAGCTAGAATATGTGCAGCGATGTCTAGATGTACCATCCCAGCCTCAGAGATTTCCTCTGCGTTCATCCCTTCAGTCTCCCCTCCAGAGGCATTCTCATGTATTTTCTTTTTTAGTTGAGTGTCATCACTCTGCAGTGATTTCTACTTTGATACTTTTGTGATTGAACAAACCAGTGAAGCATAAATCAGAAAGAAAGGGGGAAACCAAGTTGCCAAGTCCAGAGAAGAGAGGATGGAGGGGTGACAGTAGCAGTCAGTGTCCCGTGACCCGTGACGAGTAGGCAAATAGGAGGTGATGGCGGCACTGGCCTCTTCCCCACTGGGGAAGAGGCTGGGGTGCAACAGAGAGCAGTTTGTGTTTGGGGAAGGGACTTGGCCTGATTCCCTCGAGTGCAGGGACAAGGCCCTGCCTGAAAGGTGTAAAACTCCTTAGTGTGACCCCTTCCAAACGTATGGCTTTTTTGAAAGGGGAAATTCAGTTTACCTTTGGAACCACTGTGGGGTGGTCTTTGGCCAGGAGGATCCTGCACTGTCCATTCTCAGGAAACGCTGATTGAAAGCCGTCAGATGCCTGGAGGTGCTGGCCATGTGGAAGCCATCCCTCTGCTGCTGCAGGCCCTACCCACCCTCTTGAACGGCAGCCCCACCCAGCTGTGCGCCCCACTGTTTCATCCTCAGAGCCCTTCAGGTTGACCCAGGAGGGGCTTATCGCAAAATCTTTACTGCAGCCCTGAAAACCTCCGTGACTGGCCACCGGTCACCTTCCCAGCTTTGCCCCACTCCCCGTGCTAAAGTGGACTGGCTCACTGCTCCTTTAGAGGCTCCATGCTCCTGCTCAGATGTCTGTGACTCTGAACCCTTGTCCTGCTTCCTTTCCTGGCCAGCCCCAGGCATTCCTCCAGCCATGTTTATGGACCACCTAGGTGATGAGGGCACTTGGGGTCTTTTTCTTCCTTGTCTGATTCTCCAGTAGGCCCTAAAGTCCCGGTGATGGTGGGTGTCGGAGTGCAGAGGGCCCGATGGCCTGGCTGTGGTGGGTGTACAGGCCAGGGGGCCAAGGAGTGGAATTCAAGAGTGTGTTTGCTTTTGCATGCCCAGGAAGGATGAGTTCTTAATATTTTACTTCTTAAGGATCCTGTTTTTCTTTATTAAGAAGAGAGCCTAGGCCAGACACAGTGGCTCACACCCATAATCCCAGCATTCTGGGAGGCCAATGTGGGCAGATCACGAGGTCAGGCGTTCAAGACCACCCTGACCAAGATGGTGAAACTCCATCTCTACTAAAAATACAAAAATTAGCCAGGTGTGGTGGCGGGCACCTATAATCCCAGCTACTTAGGAGGCTGAGGCAGGAGAATCGCTTAAACCTGGAAGGTGGAGGTTGCAGTGAGCCAAGATTGTGCCACTGCACTCCAGCCTGGGCAACAGGGTGCAACTCTGTCAAAAAAAAGAAGACAGCCTAAGTGCGAGCATGACCCAGGCTTCTGGTGTCAGTGGAGTAGATGAGCTGGTGGTTCTTGTAGTTGGGGTCCGCAGGGCACACGCGAGCAGCACGTGCTGGGACAAGGCAGGGACGTCCGTCCACGCGGCCCTCACTCAGGCTGCCGGCACTGCCGGGCTTCTCACAGTGCCAGGCTTGTGTGCCAGGATCCCGGGGGCCTGAGCATGGGGCATCGCAGCAGCTGATGTGGGCGCAGCCCTGGCACACAGCTGCGTGAGGCTCGAATGCTGACGCTCCCTGAAGGCAAACCTTCCGATCTGGATGGTTGACATGGAGTACAGTCTGCGCTCTTCAGCTGTGTGTCGGAGTCATTTTTCTGTAGAATTCCACACCTGCACTTGAGGTTTGTTTTTATAGAAACTGCAGTGGCTGAGTATAGACTGCTTTTCAAGGATGAAGTCACGTTTACTGCGTTTTAGAGAACCCTTGATGTTGGCTCTGCATTCTGCTTTGAAACGGTGCCATTGATACAGATGCAGGGCCTGTTTTAAAAATAGCCTGTGTTCCCTGGCTGCTCGTGGTAACGCCTTCTGTTTAGTTGTGCCTGGTCTGGGCATGCAGTGCACCTGTGTTGCGTGTTTTCGTCTCGGGGCCCCTGCTGTGCTGGGGAGTCCTTGCTGGAGACTCCCCATTCCGTGCCCGAGGTCAGGCGCGCCCTTGCGTGGCCTTGTACCATCCCAGGGAGGAGTGGCTCAGTGCCGTCCCCCTCTTAACCTCAAAGGCCTTAAGCTTAGCATGAGGCACCGCATGTCCTAGGCCACCCTGTCTGTGACTCATGCTTCATTTCAGGATTTGCTAAGTTACGAAGGGCATCTCTCAGACCTCTGTGGATCAGGTTTTCATTAACTTTCCACTGCATCTCCCGATCACCCATGCCAGCTCAGTGCATGGTATTGGAAGGTAGAGGTACAGGAGGCTTCCAGCACTCACTAGAGGAGCCGGGTGATTTGGATGTTCACTGTTGTCACTGGTATTGTCCCCCAGCAAGTAGACTTGGTGAGCTAGTTAAATATCCTTCTGACCATGTGTAATTGATTAAAATAAAGGGACAGTGACATGGAAAGAGCTATTCTTTAGAGAAATTATCCTTACTTTTTTTTTTTTTTTTTTGAGATGGCGTCTCACACTGTCGCCCAGGCTGTGGTGCAGTGGTGCGACCTCGGCTTACTGCAATCTCCACCTCCTGGGTTCAAGCAGTTCTCCTGCCTCAGCCTCCCGACTAGCTGGGACTACAGGCATGCTCCACCATGCCCAGCTAATTTTTTTGTATTTTTAGTAGAGATGGGGTTTCACCATGTTGGGCAGGATGGTCTCAATCTCCTGAACTTGTGATCCATCCGCCTCGGCCTCCCAAGGTGCTGGGATTACAGGCGTGAGCCACCACGCCCAGCCAAAATTATCCTTACTTTTTAGAGGTTAGCTAACATCAGATTTCTTGAAAAGAACAGGAAGAATAACACTGCTTTTATGCCCAAAAAGTAACCCAAACCTGTCATGTTTGTCTCTTCGTGGTTAATAACAGCCAGCAAAGGTGCTGAAACCTAGATATTTAAAAATAGACTTCCAAAAGGAGAAGTGAATTCAGGGGGCCCCTGGGGCCCACCCCATGAGCACCCGGTGTCGCCCACAGCTTGCGAGGCGGCGCAGTCATTCCACAGCTGCGTTGAGCATTCAATTCCAGCCTCACAAGCTCTATTTCAAAATGCACATCCTTTTTCAAAGTGAAAACCCTTTAAGTCCCTGGTTTCATCTGATAGGTGGACACCCCAGCCCCTTAACACAGACTAGGCCGCCAGGGCGGAGCACAGCTCCCACCCCTCCAGGTAGTGACAAGTAGGAGCGGCCCGTGTGCTTTGGGGAAAGGGCTTTCTGAATTAGTTTAGTGAAGTAGCATAAAGTCAGGCCTGGCTGCTGGCAGACAAGCATGCATGGCAGGGTTTCTGCGTTTCTGCCTCCCTCGCTTGGAACTGGCAGTGTAAGTGTGGAGCTGGTGGGGGAGGACCCCTGAGTATGAAGCCGGTGGGGGAAGGCCTTGAGAGAGGAGCCAGAGGGGAAGACCTCTGCTTCTGTGGCATTGGCACACTGAGTTTCACCCAGGTCCTGAGGCACACACCTTGGGGCCGTTTCCTGCCACCAGCCAGGTGGGAGGGGTCTAAGGATTAGAATTCTTCTCCTGGGACCCTGGAGTCATTCTGGGGCAGAAGCACAGCCCGGCCCCAGACAGCGGAGACCTCTGCCCAGTCACTTAGGTTTCCCGATGGTTCTCTGTTAACAAAGCAGACTAGATGTTGTGGAGCCTCCGGTGGTCTTCTTCCATCTGGCTTCACATCACCTCCAGTGCTCCCTGCCGGCATAGGCACTTGTTCCCAGGGAGTGCCCAGGAGGGCCGACGCAGAGCCCACCTCCTGGAGTCAGAGCACGGTAGCAGGCCTCATGCGGGGGCCTCTGCGGCTGTTCTGCTCCTAGCCCATCTGTATTTAATAGGGGGCGGCGCAGCATCTTCCGAGTCCTAACTGTGTTTTGCTTTTTGACACCTTTGGTTTGGAAGCGAGTGATAGACAGCCAAGCAGAGAAACTGAAGGAGCTCGACAAGGAGATCCGGCCCTTCCGGCAGAACTGGGAGGAAGCAGACAGCATGAAGAGCAGTGTGGAGTCCCTCCAGAACCGTGTGACCGAGTTGGAGAGCGTGGACAAGAGCGCGGGGCAGGTGGCTCGGAACACAGGTGAGGCAGGGGCTGGGCCAGGCCACAGTGTACATCCCGCCCCAGGCGAGAGCTGCAGCTGTGGGATGAGGCTGTGTTAGGTACATGTGCCTTAAGATAGTTCTTTCCAGTTATGGGAAACACACAGAGCTGCGTGCCTTTCCTGCTGAGAGTCCCCCAGCAAAGACAGAAACGTTTCCCACGTAGGCTTGTCCCCTCTGAGTGCGGCCTGACGTGGGGTAGAGAGTGGGGGCAGCTGCAGCCACAGGAAGCTTTGGAGGCTTCCCCAGAGAGACCAGCCACGGGGGACCCGCAGGACAGGTCCGAGTGCAGACGCAGCAGGCAGGGGCCAGGGCCTGCTGGTCAGGATGCCCCAGACCCCACTCCTAAGGGCTGAGCGGGGCAGAAGCCCCACTGCGCTCTGCCATCACGTTCTGATCCACAAGCAGATGTGGGCCTGTGGCTTTAGGGCTTGAAAGAGTGTTGTGAATATTTTACATGAAAAGGATTAATGGCAGAAAGGAGCACAGATTACCATGGCGTGTGTGGGGCTGGATTAAGCAGGCAGAGGATGGGGTTGGAGGAGAGAAGGGAGCAGCTTCGCCTCCGAGAGAACAGAGGCCACCTGTGGGCACTGAGGCCAGAGGGAGGGTGGGGATAACACGGCTGTCTCCTGCCCCCAGGGGCTCCCACCAGCGGGCTTCCCAGGACACCACAGTGGAGAGATAGTGCGCTGTCTTGGACCCTGCAGTGAGGTCTGTCCTATGACACACGGGCAGGTCACCCACCTGGGGCATCCCCTCCCAGCAGGCTGTGCCTGGTAAATTGTCCACCCAGGCAGGGCTGTAGGCATGAGAGCTGTGGCAGAAGTGGAACAGGGCCCTGGGAGGTAAGACAGTTGTGGCCTCAGGGCATCTGTCTGCACAGCTTTGCTGGTGTCACTGCGGTAGCCACAGTGAGTTTTATATTGTTGCTTGAGACACTAGTGTGACTGGGCGTGGCAATGTGGCCTGTAGTCCCAGTGCTTTAGGAGGCTGAGGTGGGAGGATTGCTTGAGCTCAGGATTTTAATGCCAGCCTGGGCAACAGAGCGAGACCTTGCCTCTTTAAAAATTAAAAAATGGGCCAGGTACGGTGGTTCACGCCTGTAATTGCAGCACTTTGAGAGACTGAGGCAGGCGGATCACCTGAGGTCAGGAGTTCGAGACCAGCCTGGCCAACATGGTGACACCCTGTCTCTATGAAAAACACAAAAATTAGCCAGGCGTGGTGGTGGGCACCTGTAATCCCAGCTGCTCTGGAGGCTGAGGCAGGAGAATCGCTTGAACCTGGGAGGCGGAGGTTGCAGTGAGCCAAGATGGCTTCAGCCTGGGCGATAGAACAAGACTCTGTCTCAAAAAAAAAAAAAATGAAATAAAATAAAAAGTGCTGGTGTGGCTTTGCTTTTCTAATCCTTCTGACGTTCACCTGTCTTACTCACCAAATCCCTCCTCGCCTGTGGCAGGCCTGCTGGAGTCCCAGCTGAGCCGGCACGACCAGATGCTGAGCGTGCACGACATCCGTCTGGCCGACATGGACCTGCGCTTCCAGGTCCTGGAGACCGCCAGCTACAACGGCGTGCTCATCTGGAAGATTCGCGACTACAAGCGGCGGAAGCAGGAGGCCGTCATGGGGAAGACCCTGTCCCTCTACAGCCAGCCTTTCTACACCGGCTACTTTGGCTATAAGATGTGCGCCAGAGTCTACCTGAACGGGGACGGGATGGGAAAGGGGACGCACTTGTCGCTGTTTTTTGTCATCATGCGTGGAGAATATGATGCCCTGCTTCCTTGGCCGTTTAAGCAGAAAGTGACTCTCATGTTGATGGATCAGGGGTCCTCTCGGCGTCACCTGGGAGACGCGTTCAAGCCCGACCCCAACAGCAGCAGCTTCAAGAAGCCCACTGGAGAGATGAACATCGCCTCTGGCTGCCCGGTCTTTGTGGCCCAAACTGTTCTAGAAAATGGGACATATATTAAAGATGATACAATTTTTATTAAAGTCATAGTGGATACTTCGGATCTGCCCGATCCCTGACGAGTAGCTGGGGAGGTGGATTTAGCAGAAGGCAACTCCTCTGGGGGATTTGAACCGGTCTGTCTTCACCGAGGTCCTCGCGCTCAGAAAAGGACCTTGTGGGACGGAGGAAGCTGCAGAAGGCGGACACGCGCCGGCGGGAGGAGCCATGCGTGAGCACACCCGACACGTTTTCTAATAGACTAGCCACACTTCACTCTGAAGAATTATTTATCCTTCAACGAGATAAATACTGCTGTCAGAGAAGGTTTTCATTTTCATTTTTAAAGATCTAGTTAATTAAGGTGGAAAACATATATGCTAAACAAAAGAAACATGATTTTCTTCCTTAAACTTGAACACCAAACACACACACACACACACACACACACACACACACACACGTGGGCATAGCTGGACATGTCAGCATGTTAAGTAAAAGGAGAATTTATGAAATAGTAATGCAATTCTGATATCTTCTTTCTAAAATTCAAGAGTGCAATCTTGTTTCAAATACAGTATATTGTCTATTTTTAAGGCCTCATCTGGTCTCTGTTTTAATAATTTGTTTGTCAGAAGACCCTGAAGTATACCTAGGTCTTTTTTTTTTTTTAAGTCTCTAAATTCAGAATCATTTTTTAATTTAAAGTTCTACAAATAATTGTTACTGCAAACATTTTATTTTAAAACATTGATAGACTGATATTTCTTGGAAGAAAATATAAAATATCAAACACTGGTTATCACTTGTGATAGGAAAGAGAATATTCAACCTGTTGTTATTTCTCGTTAGAAATGTAAACCTTCAATATCTGTCGTAGTTAATGACACGACTTCACAATTCTGAACGGAGCCTCGCTCATGGATGCTGTGCATCATTTTCAGATTTATAATTGTTTTCACCCTAAAATAGGGCATCCGTTGAACTTTGGAGTTCTAAACAAAATCCTGTAGGTGTCTGGCTTCTGCCCCATGTGTTTGGACGAGCTCTCTGTTGCTGACAGCACCGGCCTTCGGTCTCCACGTCAGGGGTGGGCAGGTGGCTGCTGGGGGAGGCTGCAGCCCGTTTCTCCATCCCGTCATCTTGCCGCGTGCCGGCGGCGGCCTCCGAAAGCAATTTTGTGGGTAGAGCTGGTGGCGTACGGTACATGTGCCTTAGATGTGACATGCTGCTTCTCCACCCTGGGTTTGCATTGAGCATAATTCTAGAAAGTGCTAGTTTAACCAGACTTTTCTCTCCACCACTAGATCTTTGTCTCTACAAGGGCCCTCAGACACCTCCGCACCTGCTGAGGGGAGGCCGGCCTCCACCGTCGGCTTCTGGAGCCTCCGCTGCTTAATAACCACAGATTCCAAATCTCTAGGCCCCACGAGCGAGCCGCCTGGTCCAAGTACGGCCTGGCCCCACCCCGAGGGAGGCAGGTGTGGAACAGAAGCCGAGCCTCTCTGTGTCCCCACCAGGGCCGTGGGCGCCCCACAGCCCGAAGCAGAACCCTCTGAGCATTCCAGAGCCTGCTGCCCAGGGGCCTGCCCAGGCTGACTGATGGGCGCTCCTGACCCCCACCCCGGCGGGAAGGGTGGCCACGGGGCCCGTTGTCCCAGCCTGCGCCTGCCCGGACAGCATTTCCTCAGCTCACTGTTTACTGTCTCTCTGTCCAACTGTGATTGAAGCCTGGAGCCCGCCCCTGCACCCCTTTTGCTATGCACCACGCCTCATGGTGCTCTTACCACTGATGGGTGCTACACGCGACGGGTGCTTCTTAGGCAAAACCAATGTGTGCGAACCGCCACACCTGTGCCACTCGCCCACAAGCCGCGCCCACGATTGGCCAGCTGGGCCGCGTGCGCCAGACTGCCTGCCTCGGCTCTCCGTGGCTGCACGGGGACAGCTCGGTGGGTGCCTGGTGGCCCACCTGTCTCTGGTGCTGCCATCTGTCCTGGGTGTGCCTTCGCCCCAGTGCCTGCTGGAAGTGCCCTCCGTCGCACCCCCGTGCCCCTAGCTCCTGTGAGGGGCCCGCCGCACCTGTTCGCGGTCAAAGCTCTGTTCTTATCTGCCTTTCCTTTACCCGCTCTCCTGGGATTGCTTTGGGGGAATGAGTGTCCCTGGTTCTGCCCTGTACGGGAGTCACGTGTCGCTGCTTGTCAAGGAGAGACTTCCTGCAGAAGCTGCAGAAACTGTTTCCTCGAAGGCGTCCCCACCTCAGGCCTGTCCCCTGGGCCTGTCCCCACCCGGCCTCAGGTGGTTTTCCTGAGACCAGGGATTAACACCAGGGACATCCCTGCAACTTCCCCTCCCTCCACAAAATGTACAGTATTAGATGTAGGATACACAACATCTTGGTGTGGTAAAAACAGTCTTCTCCCCTCTGGATTCAAGTCCCGCCGTGGCCCCAGAGGCAGCACCGTGTGTTGCTGGGACATCGCCAATAGCCCTTCCCAGACAGACGCCCCCCCCTGATGGTCCCACAGACGTAACTCGAGTTCAGGCGTCCTTGAGGATGGGGCGGCCCGCGTCACACACTTCATCCTCGTGTTTGGGTGTACGGAGGTCTCTTCTGAGTGTGTCTTCCTCTCACGTGCCCCGCACTCCCAGCGGTGGGCAGGCCTCGCGCTCTGCACCCTCCGCTCCCACACACCCTCGCTCGGCGCTCGCCGCCTGGGCCGGCTGGGCCGGCTGGGGGCCGTGGTCTCCCTGCAGCTGAGGCCTGCTGACCCCTCGGCAGCGGACAGCCTTCCCCGCGTCATAGGGCCCTGGCAGCGAGCGTGAAGGGGGTGTGCACACTGTGCTTGGGGGTGCCGCTGCTTTACCAAAAGTGACCAAACTCCCAGCAGGACAGAACTGTTCAGTACTTTACAGAAACCAAGTCCATTGTGCATGCATTCAGCCGGTCTGCTTCCCGTCACCTTTGTAACAAAACAACGTCCCCTGTCCCCTTGCCTCGGCCTCGAGCAGTTTCTCCAGGATGCCGTGGCTTGGGCTGCTGCCAGCTGCCGGGCACGCCGGGTGGCTGGCCTGGGCCCGGCTCACGTGAGAGCACTGGCTCTTGTGACCACGCTGAGCCACGTGCAGGCTGCAGCCAGGCCTGGAAGCCTGACCTTCTGGTTCTAGGCCTAGTCCGGTGGAGCCTGCAGAGCTGGAAGTTGGGGTGTGTCTGTGGTGAGATGGGGGCCAGGCTGTGAGTAGGGCCTTTCCAGCAGGGTTGGGCGTCTCAGTGAGGGGTGTGCACATGGGGGCCCTGTGGGGCCCTGACTTTGGGACCAGACATGGCAGCCCCAGTGGGCTGGAGGGAGCCTGCGTGGCCCCGACATATGCCGGGGTTTTCAGCTCGCCGTGCTCCAGTGCCAGGCGGCCAGGTCAGGATTTGTATCAGTTCTAGGAGCCATCAGGCAAGAAGGCGGTGCTGTCCGCTGAGTGCAAGCCTCGCCGGGGCCCTGGGGGAAGGCCTGGACCCACAGATGTGTGTTCCCTGTGCAGGTGGGCAGAGGGGCCCTCGTGGCCCAGGCTGTGGCCACTGCCCGTCACCCCTTCCTTTCCAGAGCAGCCTCTGCTGATGGACAGCACCTCTGTCCCTTTGGTGCCACAATAGCTAGTTGAATGGGGAGCCCTTTGCTCAGGCAGCGTCTCCTGCGTCTCCCTCCTTTCTCCTTCCCTGCCCCGTCCCCATGCCCTTCTTGGTCTGTGGCACTGGGGAGCCATGGTGTGGCGTGCTGGGGCTCCCACGCCTCGGGCCGCTTCCTCGGCCAGGGCCCCGCCGGCCTGCCACCCACCAGGGCTCTGCTGCACTGGCTGTGGCAGGAGGCTTCCCCTTGACGTCATGTGGCCCAGCTTGGTGAGGAGGCAGTTCCAGGCACAGTCTCCCGGGCCTGCCCGCTGCCCCCCAGACCACCTGAGCCTGCGCCAGGGCCCTCAGTCGCCCTGGGCCAGGGGCCACGTGTCCCATGGATATAGGCCATGCCAACGTCACATTCCAGCCCCCCTTTTGCTCAGTGGTAGCTGATGGTAGTTACCATGGTGGACCCATGTCCCAGCCAGAGGTGATGTCGGACAAAGGAAGGGGGGTCTGGATGGGTCCTTAACCATTCTGTCCCAAGCGGGGTCATTCCTTGTCAGCCCAAGGGAAGGCCAGGGAGTGCTGGGCTGACACCTCCTTTCTTCTCTGCACAGGGAGGACTGGCATGAGGACAGCCCCTGTGCCCAGCCCTGGCAGGGAAGCAGTCTGCTGTCTCCATGGGCGTCGCAGGGTTGGGCGGGCACAGCCTCCCTGTGGGCCCCTCCCTCAATCCCTGGCCCCTCCAGACTCATCCCTCATTTGTGCACCAAAAAGGCTCCGGCAGAGCTGTAAAATCCTGTTTTAAAATTTTAGTCCAGATCTTATTAGACTGCAGGAGGAGAGCTAGGAGAGCCTGGGAGCCCCTTCGCTTTTGTGTCTGGGAGATGAATGAGGGTCTGTCACCCAAATCTACTTCTCAGCCATGACCATGTTCTGTTTTCCGTTTGCAAATCTCAGCCGCTCTGTTTTCTCCCAAGTAGAAAGTGCCCACCGCGGCCCAGGCCAGGCAAGGTCAGTGTCAGCCGGCGACCTGGTCACGATGGCCGCCTCGCCCTGGCTGGTGCTGATGGTCACAGGCCTGGTGGGATCAGGGAGCCGGGCCGGCGGGTGGGGCCAGGAGCTTGTTGCAAAGGCAGTTTCCACCTGACCTGGCGTGCCCCACTCGGGCTCCCGCGCCTCGGGCCGCTTCCTGCCCCTGCAGGGCAGACGTGAGGAGCCTCGGTCGCCGCCCGGCCGGCTGGTATGCGGGTGAGGAGGCCCTGGGGGCCGAGTGGAGCCTGCATTTCATTTCTCCTGCTGCACTGTGTCTAGTCTGTCTCGTGAACTCACCGTGAAAAAGAGGCTGGAAGTCCAGGATCGCTGTACCACTCCTGTTATTAGGTGATGATTGGTTTTTACAACTTAGTCCCCTCAGACAAGTAAGACACCCTTCCACAGCAAATTACATGACTTAATTGGAAAACACACACGCCGGCATTATCTCCAGTGGTTTCTATAAGAAATGCCTGTAGGAGGAGGTGTGAAGTGTGGAGGGCAGGATCGGCGCCGCGCGGCACCTGCAGAACCGCAGGCTCTTCCCAGCCCTGTCACCCAAAAACAAAGACCAAAGAAGGCCAATCTTGCATTCGACCCTGTATTTTTAATCTGCCTGTTTTAACACTTGCGTCTGTAGTAAGTGCTTGCGTGAGGACACACCTTGGCAGTCCAAGTGATCGTGACCAGTGATTCGGGTCCCGTTTTTCTGCTCTTCTAAGAAAAAACAAAAAGACCGTCAGTTATTGCCCCAGCAATAATCATGTTGTTACTGTGAGCCAGCAACATGCCTGACTTTCTGATAGCATTACTGTTTTATATTTTTGTTTACTGTATATTATGTGTGGTTTTATTTGGTATTTATTTGTGTTTTGAGGTCTTGCAATGTTTTTGTGTTTCTGATGCTAATAACTAAAGTTTGTAAGACTGTAGAATGCGAAACTCGGAAA